TGACCTGCCCATCGCCATCTTGGGACCCTTCCTCTTTCTGCTTCCTTGGCGTGTGCACGCGTTTTCCTCTGTCTCTCCTTTTGTCTCTTTTCTCTGTCTTTCTTTCTCCCTCTTCCTTAATAAATACTTATGGCTATTTCCTGTGTTTACGTGTCTGTTACCTGCCGTCACCGTGGGCGCGTGCCCTCCTGTAGCCGCTTTCTCATGGCGGGCTCCCCCAACCCGCCGGGGATCATTTTTTAGGAATAAGAGTGCCCTCCTCTGGCGTGCGGACATACATTGAGGAAGAATGTTGTATACATAATAAATAAATAAATCTTAAAAAAAAGGAAGTCTTGCCTATATTGGACACTCAGGGTCTCGTATAATCACCATTTTTTGTTTCAGGTGCATATAGGGCTAAAGAAAAAAATCTGAATTTAAAAAAGCGATACACATATTTCCTAAAGCCGTTTCCAATAGACAAGTGACTCCTGGGTCCACAGTGAGAGAAGTCTGATTCTTGAAAGAAAGAAGCGACAGCTGGGCGGTGGTGGCACACGCCTTTAATCCCAGCACTCGGGAGGCAGAGGCAGGCGGATCTCTGTGAGTTCGAGGCCAGCCTGGTCTACAAGAGCTAGTTCCACGACAGGAACCAAAAAGCTACGGAGAAACCCTGTCTCGAAAATCCATAAAAAAAATAAAAATAAAAAAAGAAAGAAGCGACAGAAAGATTGGATTCCTCAGCCACCTGACCATCCCTCAGCCTGGCTACTACATGAGGATGAGTTCTTCCAAAATCTGGAACCTAGGCCGAGAGGCCTACAAGCAGATCCCTCCCTGTTCCTTCCTCAGCCCGCCCCCTGCTGGGTGAAGCCGGGTCACACATTATTAGGGTCTTCGCAGCGCCTAAGTCCGGCTCCAGAGAAAGCAGAGAAACCGTTGTGGAAAACTGGGTCTACATGGGCTGAGGGGAACCGGCGCAGAGCTCTGCTGAGGCTGACATGCAACTCAAATCAGTAGATGAGATCATAGAGAAGGGCCATGTCGGTTTTGAGATTCGTGTGGGCACAAAGGGAGGGGGCTGTTTGAAGGGTGAGGAAATGGAGAGGAGACAGAGAGAAGGGAAATTGCCAAGGGGGCACTGGAGGGGCTCAGCCATTTCCAAGAGGAACAGATTCTTTCCCCCTTGTTCTAGTTACTAGAGATTATCAAGGACTCTTATGTTCCTCATATTTGAAGGAGGTTTGGGTGGGAAAACTAAGCAGAGGATGGTCTAGAAAGGAAGAGTTCATTCGGCTGTGTTCACAAGTGACAGGAAACAGCTTAGGTTATGAAAACCAGGCCTTTGACTGACTTCAAGGGAGGGCAGGATGGGGGTGAGAGGGGCCAGTGATACTAATAATGGCGTGGACCCTTCCCTGGCTCCTGCCCTTCAGACAAAATCTCCCCGTGTACAGTCCCTTAAACTGTCACTTCAAATGCAAACAGTGAACTTTTTCCTTGCTTGCCTAATCCCCATCCCGCACACTTCTCCCATCTTACCGCTTCCTCTCTCCTCCCCGAGCCAGCAAACTGTTGCTTCGTCTCCCCGCCCCCTTCCAGGTCTTAGATTGCAGGGCTGCGTATAGGTGAGAGTGGGTGCAGCTCGGCGGCTGGTTCATACCATGTTTTAATCTTAGGCACGTGTGTTTGTCCACACCTGTGCAGGTAGGTGCCCACGGAGGTAAGAAGAGGGTGTGGGGCCCCCTAGAGCTGAAATTACAGGCGGTCGTGAGTGCCGGGAACTGAACTCTGGGCCCCCGGCAAGAACAATAAGTGTTGTCATCCACCGAAGCATTTTTCGAACCCCCAACTCGAGGTCTTCGAAAGGTCCTAATACGCAACAAACCTCAAACCTGACTAATAAGGTCTGGGGGTAAGCGAAATAAATTAACTCACAGAAGTCTTTCTATCATGTCCCATTCTTTCTATGTTCTCTCTGACGCCCTCTCGATGTTCCTCGCTCTTCTACCCATCCCACAAGGTTTCCAGTTTATATACCCAAACAGCCATAGTTAGCAATTCCATAGGTGATAACAGTGGTAACAAGCATGCATTTCTTAGGACCAAAATGGATAAAAAACTGACAAGGCTGGGGCTGGAGAGATGGCTCAGAGGTTAAGAGCATTGCCTGCTCTTCCAAAGGTCCTGAGTTCAATTCCCAGCAACCACATGGTGGTTCACAACCATCTGTAATGGGGTCTGGTGCCCTCTTCTGCCCTTCAGGCATACACACAGACAGAATATTGTATACATAATAAATAAATAAATATTTAAAAAAAAACCGACAAGGCAGGTGCGTGGCTATAGCTCTCTGGCAGATACCGGATTAGGGTAGAGCTTGACCCTCCAGGCTAAGCCTCAGGGTGCTGAATCTGCTGGTACCCAGTTGAGAAGGAATTTCTTTCTCTGGGGCTGTTTAGCAGCCCAAGCTTTTTTTCCCTGCATGTTTTAGGGGTAAAGGTCAAACAGTCAATTTCCTAGACTAAGACCTTGTGTCAGGTGAAAGGTGAAGGAAAGTACAGAATATTAATAACTTGTTAGGGTAGAGCAAAGGCCAGTGAGTTACACTCTCCAGAGTTATCTGTTAGAGAATTCAGGACCACCCAGACCAACAGGTGGTCTGTCTCCCTGCTCAGTGCCTCCTGCTCAGGGCTCTTCTTGTCAAATAAGGATAGTTGTGGGGGAGTAGCTTTATGTAGATTTGACCACGAGAACAAAGGTTTGGCTGAGTGAATGCTTTCACACCAGGGCTCAGCAGCGTGGAAAAATGGAGAAGGACATCCTGTTGCCTGTACAAAAGGAAGTTATCTCAAGGAATGATTTAAACATTGCTGGGGTAATCCGGGATGAATCCCATTATGGACGGGAGAAGATTCATGGCCTCACAAGGTTTCTACAGAAACTGACAGTGACTATCTGAAAGACAGGTGTTCCCGAACCTCTGCAACGTGGGTTCTCCACCAGATTGTGGCCTTGTGGGTCTGTCTATAGTTCTGTGCCTGTGTGTAATGCTTGTGACTCACAACAACAACAACAACAAAACAAGCCGAGAACTGGGGAGTACACCCAGGGCCTTAGGTATCTGAGGCAGGTGCGCCCCCACCAAGCTGCCAAGAAATTGAAATTGAGGTACCCCAGTTTTCTGTTAGCCCTGTATGACACTGGGATATGCAATCTCGCATTCATACTGGAACAGAACTCAGGGTTCCAGGCACACTATCACTGAGCTAAACCTCTAACCCCAGTCTTTTCTTTCTTTCTTTCTTTCTTTCTTTCTTTCTTTCTTTCTTTCTTTTTCTTTCTTTCTTTCTTTCTTTCTTTCTTTCTTTTTTGGTTTTTCGAGACAGGGTTTCTCTGTGGCTTTGGAGCCTGTCCTGGAACTAGCTCTTGTAGACCAGGCTGGCCTCGAACTCACAGAGATCCGCCTGCCTCTGCCTCCCGAGTGCTGGGATTAAAGGCGTGCACCACCACCGCCCGGCTCTAACCCAGTCTTAATTTATCTTTTATTATTGTCATTTATATTTATCCTGGCGTGTGTGAGGTTGCATGATGACTTTTAGAAGTTAGTCCTCTCTCTTGACCAAGTGGAGAGAGTAGGTTCAGGTCAGCAGGCACCTTTACTGACTGAGCCGTCTTACTACACCCCCCCCATAGGGAGGGGGGAGAGGGGAAGGAAATTTCTTTATAGTTTTTTGTCAGTGAATATCTGATTTATACATTTACTTTTTATACCTATTCACCTGGTCTAGGATAAAAAGGGATATCAAGTTTAAGGGGAAACAAAAGAATAGGGATCATTGATGAGCTCAGGTGACCGTGCCAGGGGCTCAGCGGCACAGCCTTTGCCTGGCACGTACAAGGTGCCTGGCAAGTACAAGGTTCGGGGTTCCACCCCCAGAACAGACAAAAAACATCAGGGCCTGATTAAGACCCAGAAGCTGGAGACAGCAGATGGGACTTAGGGCCAAATACTTAGTCTCAGTTTAGCTTGAGGGGCCATCATCTCAGGCAGCAAGGATTACGGCGCTTCCAGGCCCAGCATTAGGAGAGGGTGCTCATTTCCCGAGGAACAAAATCCAGAAGTAATCAACTGTGGTCTATCGGGTACCTAGGGATACTGTTAGCACTGGAAGACTTGCAGCTTGGTCTAGTGCTCATGGGAAGGATTACACTGAAGGCTTAAACTAAATGGGATTATTCCTAGTATTTGTTAAAGCTTTTAATTTTTTGCATGCTCATTGTTTGTATAACAACTTGCCTCTGCTGTAGACTGAGCTTTTTTTTTTTAAGGTTTTAAGCCCCCAGCACCTAACAACCCCTGATTAGCACTTTAATACTCATCTCTCCCCTTGTCAAATATTTAATGGACAATGACATTATCCCGTAGGCCCCAAACGACTATAGATAGTATATGGCACACTTCCCTAAAGTAGTTACGTTTATGGAATAAAATTACTCATGCGGGGCGCGGTGGCCCAGGCGCAGATCTTTGTGAGTTCGAGGCCAGTCTGGTCTACAAGAGCTAGTTCCAGGATAAGTCCCCAAACTACAGAGAAACCCTGTGTCGAAAAACAAAAACAAAACAAAACGAAAAAAGAAAGAAAGAAAGAAAGAAAGAAAGAAATCAATTACTTTTTTTGGCCACCAAGTGAGTGGCCAGCTTGGTTGCGATAGGGCCCACTGAGGGAGGGGCAAAGCTTTGGAGGAGGGAGTGGGTATTTCAAAGGGGGGCAGAATTGTATGTGTACCTTCCCTGTGTTCGTTATGAACGACACCAAAATGGTGGGACCCCTAGTTACTGTGATCATATTTGGAGGTCGGGGATGAGAGGGCCATCTATCTGTAGGGTTTGAAATGTTTATTACCCATTGGTAGCCCAGGCTTCCCCCCTAGGCAGATGGAGACTTCATCCTAGGCCCTCTTTTAAAAATCAGGCTCCCAGTGCACACACTCTTGCCTCCCCGCCCAGCGCCGTCCTTACACTCGGCAAGGGATCACAGAATTACTGAGAGTCAAGAGTCTCCTCTCTCCTAAGCGCTCCCAGGAGTTAACAGCTCCCGCTCGGCGCTGGGCTCCGCCTCTCTCTCCTCTCCGAGGTCCTGGCGGGCTTCTCCTGGAGGGGGCGGCCTCAGCAGCCACGCTCGGCCGGGCGGAGCTCTGGCCCGGGCGGAGCTGCGGCTGCAGCGTCCAGCGGCCGGACCGAAGCCCGGCTGTGCAGCCTGCGGGAGCGGCGCGAGCCCCTTCCGCACCGGGGCCCACACCCCCGCGACTCTGCAGGTCAGTCTTTCCCTTCCGCACCCAACTTTGTTGCGGTCAAGCCTCGAGTCGGGTGGCGCCGGCAGCAGCTACGCTCGTAGTTGCTGTGGGTTCGGGGGAGGAGGAGAAGGATCGACAACACCCGTCTCTGACAGTTCTCAAGTCCCCAACTTCCCTAAAACGGGCCGGAGTGCATCACTCCCGGACTTGCCAGAACTCTGGGCTTTCGCTGGCTAAACTTGCAGCTCCGGGGGACTAGGGCTCCAACTTCGCCGCCCCTCCCCCATTTCTTGGAGCTCCGGCAGTTCCGGATACTTTTCCCTCCATCTTTCAAGTACCCGGGGCTCCCTAAAAGCCCGTCCCTCCGGGCCCGCCTCCTCTTCGTTACCCGCAGGGCCCGCGATCCCTGCGCCGCACACTGCCCGCGGGGTCACCGCGTCGCGGGCCGGCCGGAGACTCGCCGGGGCGGCGGGGCTGCGGAAGAAGTGGCGAGGCCGGCGGCGGTCCGAAGCCCGGCGGGCGGGGCCGGGAAGGGGAGGTGTAGGGGGCCGGACGGGGCGGAGCAGGCGGCCTTTGCGGCCGGCGCCGGGGCGGAGAGTTTGCGCCGGTCCCTGGGCCTGAGCTCCGGCTCGGGGCTGGGGCGCCTGCGATGTCTCAAGATGGCGGAGCTGGGCGAGTTAAAGGTACCTGCCCCCTCCCCCAGCCCCGTCAGGACTCGCTCGGCTGCGCGCCGAGGCGGGAAGGCGACCGGGCTGGGCGCCGCGGGCCGGGGTGGGCGCGGGCGACGTGTCAGGGCCGGGCTGCAGGGATGCGCGGGCAGCGGCGGGCGGGCGGGCAGAAGGGGCTGCGGCGGCACCCCGGGGGCGGGGCCGCGGGGCAGATGCAGGGGTGGGGCGGGGGGGGGGAGAGATGGCCACCGCTGGGGACCGAGGCACAGGGGGCGGGGACGTGGGCAGTGGCCGCTTTGCGGAGTAGGTGGTTGCAGGGTCGTGTCGGGCGACCGCCACCGAGAGCTGCTCCCGAGGCGTAGGGGCGAGTCCGTGAGGCCGAGGGATGGGCTCCGAGGCGAGGGCCGAAGGTTGCCGGGCTCCCGGGGACCTGCAGCTCAGGATGGAGGCTTTGGGGCTGCTGTTGGCATCTGAGCCCTGGGAAGTACCAGCTGGCAGCTGAGAAGCAGGGGGCGGGGCCGTATGGGAGTGTACTTCAAGGGATGGGGCAGGAGCATCCTGATGGCTGAGGAGGAGGAACCGGCTTGGTGAGGCGCTGTCCTTGGAGAGGTGGAGCAGTGTAAACCATAGGATGGAAAAATGAGTTAGAAAGCCGATGGAGAAATAAAAACAAGTAGGAGGAGCTAAGAATGGAGAAGGTTCTCCTTACGTTCCTGAAAAGGAGTCCGAGAGGAAAAGAACTTGGAGAGCTTCTGACCTGCCCCATGACTAAGTCTTCTAGGCATTCATAGAAGAGAGAGGTCTTGCCCCACCCCCTCCAGTCTTCAGGGAATCACTTGGGAGGACACCCCTCAGAACTTAGACCTTCATCGCCCATCTTCTGCCTTTGCCCCATTCTTGTGCTGGACAGCTACTGGGTCATCATCACCCTTTAAGAGCTTACTTCTAAGCCTGGCAGTGATGGTACACACACTAGGGAGGCAGAGGCAGGCAGATCTCTGTGAGTTCAAGGCCAGCCTGGTCTACAAAGTGAGTTCCAAGACAAGCAAGGTAAATAGAGAAATCCTGTCTCAAATAACCAAAACCAACCAACCAAAAATAAATAAGTAAATAAATAAATAAATAAACCTTGCTTCTGTGTCCGGGTCCATGGACACCAGTCTCATTCTCCTGGGGTCTCTGTTGAGAACTTTGCCCTGGTTTCCACCCCTGTGTGTATATATGCCATGTATGAGGGAGAGCAGCGAGGTTGTAGTCCTTGACAGATGGAGTAAGTCAGGCCAGTTACCTAGACTTGTGGATTCCCTTTCTCCCCCACAAGTTTTGGTAGCTTCCTTCTAGTAAAACAGGACTAGAGGAGTGTGGGTATGTAAATAATGTAAAAAGTTGTATGTGCGCCAGTCGGTGGTTGCGCACGCCTGCTTTAATCCCAGCACTTGGGAGTCTGAGGAAGGCGGATCTCTGTGAGTTCGAGGCCAGCCTGGTCTACAGAGCTAGTTCCAGGACAGGCACCAAAAACTACAGAGAAACCTTGTCTCAAAAAATCAAAAAAAAAAAAAAAGTTGTGTGTGTGTGTGTGTTTGCACATGCGAGCTTGTGTGCACAGGGGTGGAGTGGTGGTGATAAAGATGGAGTTTCAACTCTGATTTAAATCCCTTACCATAAAAGCTTCAATTCAGAGGTATGGGGAGAATAGAGGTGGATTGAGGTGAGTGGGAGGGATGAGCCCCGAGATATACAATCAGCTAGCCACCTGGCCTCTTTCTTCCTCCTGGGGCTTCCTGCCGAATCCTTCTCTTACAGTGTCCTATGCTTTTCCAGGAGGCTAGGAACACCCTGAGAGTCTGAGCCCTGGAGAGACTATAATCAGCTTAAGGGAATGTCTGCATTAGGGGTGGGGATGGGGCTAGGTAGTCCTCCTCCACTGTCTCTCCCCCCCCCCCGCCCCCCCCCCCCAGGAGCTCAGCGTCTGTCTTCAGCAGAATAGGCCTTTGGGACTGGGTATCATTTCTGGGCTCTTGTCTGCAGCACATGGTGATGAGTTTCCGAGTGTCTGAGCTCCAGGTGCTCCTTGGCTTCGCCGGCCGGAACAAGAGTGGACGGAAGCACGAGCTCCTGGCCAAGGCCCTGCACCTCCTCAAGTCCAGCTGTGCCCCCAGCGTCCAGATGAAGATCAAAGAGCTTTACCGACGCCGCTTTCCCCGGAAGAGCCTGGGGCCCTCTGATTTCCCGCTGCTGTCCTTGCCCCCTGGCGCCTCTCCTGTAGGCTCCCCCGGCTCTCTACCTCCCATACCTCCCTCCCTTCTAACTCCTGGCACCTTGCTGGGCCCTAAGCGGGAGGTGGACCTGCACCCTCCTCTGCCCCAGCCTGTGCACCCCGATGTCACCATGAAACCGCTGCCCTTCTATGAAGTCTATGGGGAGCTCATCCGGCCCACCACCCTCGGTAAGGTTGGCTGTGGTCCCTCAGTCCCTTTCTGGACTCTGGTTCCGGCTGCGTTTGTTTCTCCCCTCTGAGGTTTTAGTCTCAGCCGTCTGGGATGGGAGCAGGTGGCTTCTCAGGCCTGGGCTTGGGAGTGACTGTGTCTTTGTGTCCTCAGCGTCCACCTCCAGCCAGAGGTTTGAGGAAGCACACTTTACCTTTGCGCTCACCCCGCAGCAGGTGCAGCAGATCCTCACGTCCAGGTACATCTCTCCTGTCCCTGCCTCGGCTGTGGGGACTGTCCCCTGGCCTCTGCCTTTCTTCTCTGTTCTACTTTGTCTCTCATTCTTTTGCCTGTCTTCTGTCTGTGCCCTGGACATCTTTGTCCATCTCCACCCTCTGAACTGACGTTTCTTTCTTGTTGCAGGGAGGTTCTGCCGGGAGCCAAGTGCGATTATACTATACAGGTGCAGCTAAGGTGAGCTGCTGCTTAACAAGGACAGGCCCTAAATAGGGGGATGACATACTCCTCTCCTGGTCCTGCCCAGACCACACTGGCCCTGAGACTCTTAGCGATGCTGGGGGCTGCATATTATCTCTGACTTCTTTTTTCTAGAGTTCCCCGCTTCAGTGCTCAATCACCTCAGAAAACTGACACTTACCTGTTCATCCTGTCCTTTCCCACCAGGTTCTGTCTCTGTGAGACCAGCTGCCCGCAGGAGGACTATTTCCCCCCTAACCTCTTTGTCAAGGTTAATGGGAAACTCTGCCCCCTGCCGGTAGGTTAAGATTCTTCATTTTTTGTCAACAAACGTTAAGTAAAAACCTCTTGTGAAAAGATATGCTGAGCACAGTGCCTGCTATGTAGTAGTTGCTTAGTTTACTGGAAAAATCAATGTAATCTAGAGAGTATTAAAATGGGGCTGACTTGTAGGCAGACCATGCTTCTGTGGAAGGCCACACATCCAAGAGTATTTGGGCAACACAAACTCTACCTGATATGTCAATAAGGAGGGACTCAGAGTTGGGTGAGTACAGGAGTGGGTGGTTCTGGGAAGAATCAAGGATGGGAGTGAATAGGATTGGAATATGTGTGTGAAGTTCTCAAAGAATTAGTAAAAAGGGCTGGAGAGATGGCTCAGTGGTTAAGAGCACTGCCTGCTCCTCCAAAGGTCCTGAGTTCAATTCCCAGCAACCACATGGTGGCTCACAACCATCTGTAATGAGATCTGGCGCCCTCTTCAGGCATACATATAGACAGAATATTGTATACATAATAAATAAATAAATTAAAAAAAAGAATTCGTAAAAAATGAGTAAAATAAAGGAGGGCTGAATAACTCATGTCGGCCCCAGGCGAGGGGCACTGCTTTAACACACAAATTTAGAGAAGACTTCCAAGAGACTATGACAGCAGATGAAAGCGGAAGTGAGGACTGCCCTGTTGTTCCCTGGGACCCAGTGTTTGGAGTTCCTGGCTCCTTGGTTAACAAATAAGCTCCTCCCCCCCGGAAGTGAACCTCTCACCCCGCCCTGTGTAAGGCCCACGTTTCAGCATCGCCACCGCAGCGTGGATCCGGACTCCGTTGCTCCTGAGCGAGCTGGCCTCCCTCCAGAGTAATCTGAGACAGAGTTTCTGAGAGTTGAACCCCTTCCCAGCACTCTGTCTCTAACAAGTCCCTCCCTTCCTCAGGGTTACCTCCCCCCAACCAAGAATGGAGCTGAGCCCAAGAGGCCCAGCCGTCCAATCAACATCACATCCCTGGCTCGGCTCTCAGCCACGGTTCCCAACACCATTGTGGTTAATTGGTCATCTGAGTTTGGACGGGTGAGCATAGCCAGAAGGCCTGCAGAGGCTGCAGGGGAGACTTCTAGTTTGGGGTTGGGGATCCATCTTGCTCTTCATGGGCCTCTGCTTAAGGCCACCATCTCTGGTCCTCGTGAGACAGAGCCTGTGGGGAAGGGGAGGCAGGAAGCAGCAGCTAACTCCCCCTCCCCCTCCCCCAAGTAGAATTACTCCTTGTCTGTGTACCTGGTGAGGCAGCTGACTGCAGGGACCCTTCTACAGAAACTCAGAGCGAAGGGCATCCGGAATCCAGACCATTCCCGGGCACTGAGTGAGTACCAGCCTTTTCCTCTGCCCTCCAGACTTTATCACAAGCTGGTGATCTCTGGCTTTCTCTCTCTCACTCTCCCCAAAGCTTCTCCTCAGTCTCTGCGGGTGAGGAATTAGATCCTCCAGCAACGCAAATAGCTTTGCATTCCCAGTCATACAACTCTTCTGCATCTCCAAGACCCCAGGGCCACCCCTACTAAGATACAGTTTTCTGTACTGAAAAGCCCTGAAGTTCATTCAACCTAATCCTCAGGCGATGCTTCCCTTCCGTCTAGATCATCCCAAACATAGCCTACATTTCCCCTTGCAGTGGCTAAAGATCTTCAGGTACGGAGAATTCTCTTCTCCACACCCAGCCTTCTAGATCTAGATCCGCTCCTGTCCTGTGCCATGGGCCCCCAAAGACAATGTTCGGCGGCCTCTCTGCTTCCAGGCTGCTTCCAGCCTCGCTGACCCCATGGCTCTGGCCTCTTGTTTCAGTCAAGGAGAAACTGACTGCTGACCCTGACAGTGAGGTGGCTACTACGAGTCTCCGGGTGTCACTCATGTGCCCGGTGGGTACAGGGGACGAAAGGAAGTGGGAGGGGGGTTGGGTCACAGTCTGAAAGGGGGTTCCTAAGGATACTAGAGCCAAGTTTTCTCGCCTGACCTCTGCTCTCATCAGCTAGGAAAGATGCGCCTGACTGTCCCATGCCGCGCCCTTACCTGTGCCCACCTGCAAAGCTTCGATGCCGCCCTTTATCTACAGATGAATGAGAAGAAGCCAACCTGGACATGTCCTGTGTGCGATAAGAAGGCTCCCTATGAATCCCTTATTATCGACGGGTAGGGCTTCGCTGCTTCCCCCTCTCCTAGGACAGTCGCTTAGGGGCCCCCCTCTTTATGGCTTCCTTACTCCCAGCTCTCACCCTCATCTCCTTCAGTCATCCATGTGTGAGTGACATGAAGGACTTAGGGAAGACATCATGCTCAGCATTTTCTCAGTCCTCATAACAGCCCACAGCATGATGCCGCCCTTCCAGAGGATAGACCTGGAAGGTCACATTAGCAAGTGGCAGAGTAAATGGTGAATTGTCCCGATATACTGCCGATAACAGCTACCTGAGCTTCCCACTGTGCTTAGTAAGTCACAAGTCACATGCATGCCTTTTCATTTTTGCTGTTACAAATGGCATTTATTAGGTTGGCATAAGAAGGTTTTTTTTCTTTTTTAAGTGCATGCCCTGACACTTTTATTTTATTTTATTTTATTTTTTTAAAGATTTATTTATTAAGTATACAGTGTTCTTTCTGCATGTCCTGCGGGCCAGAAGAGGGCCTCAGATCTCATTAAGTAGTCTTAATCTCCTTGTACAGCCTCCATTAGGGCTCTCACATTGTCTTTTGAGAAGGTTAAGCCTGCACCTAAAATTTAGGAAGTTTGCCGGACCTGGTGGCACGTGCCTGAGTTTAATCCCAGCACTTAGGGAGTAGAAACAGATGGATCTCTGAGTTCAAGGCCAGCCTGGTCTACAGAGTGAGTTCCAGGACAGCCAGTGCTACATAGAGAAACCCTGTCTTTTGCATACTGGCCCCTACAATGCTAGGGATCAAACTTAGGGCCTGCATGCTAAGCAAGTCTCTGTTATTAAGCTACAGCCCCAGCCTGTGCTTTACTGCTGTTCCAGCAACGACTCAGAGAGAGAGGTCCAGTAAGGCGCGTAGTACAGATGAGGACATTACGGTACAGGAAATGAGTCTCAGAACACTGACTGGTGTCCCAGTGAATTCCCATGTCCTCCTCCCCTAGTTTATTCATGGAAATTCTTAATTCCTGTTCGGATTGTGATGAGATCCAGTTCATGGAAGATGGATCCTGGTGTCCAATGAAACCTAAGAAGGAGGCATCTGAGGTTTGCCCCCCGCCAGGGTATGGGCTGGATGGTGAGTGACCCCCTGCTCCCCAATTGAGCTAGATCACGGATGGCCCTTTTTCTGAGACACAGTCTTCTTAACCACCCCAGGCCTCCAGTATAGCCCAGTCCAGGAGGGGAATCCATCAGAGAATAAGAAGAGAGTTGAAGTTATTGACTTGACAATGGAAAGCTCCTCAGATGAGGAAGATCTGCCCCCGACCAAGAAGCACTGTCCTGTCACCTCTGCCGCCATCCCCGCCCTTCCTGGAGGCAAAGGGTATGAGGAAAGGCGAGGGGACTGGAGGACAGAACTGCTATCTGCTCATAGGCAGGCCTTGGGACAGGGAAGGGAGGATGGACCGGGACCGGACCGTGGGTAACTGTACTTGGCTAGCTTCTCCAGCTCCTTCCCTTCCCTCAGAGTCCTGACATCTGGTCACCAGCCATCTTCGGTGCTGCGGAGCCCTGCGATGGGGACCCTGGGCAGTGATTTCCTGTCCAGCCTCCCACTACATGAGTACCCACCTGCCTTCCCACTGGGGGCTGATATCCAAGGTATAACACACATCCTAAGTGGGTGGGTGGGGTCCCGCCCTGTTACACCCTCTCTAGACCTGTTTCTCTGCGGAGCTTGGGTAGGGGGATGTTTTCTTGTGGTGAAGGAGTTAGAAGGGGGTTGATTGTGATTTTTCCTTTTCCACCAGGTTTAGATTTATTTTCTTTTCTTCAGACTGAGAGTCAGGTAAGTAGTCAGACCTCAGAAGATTCCTTTCTCGATGCTGAGGGCATTGTCTTTCCCTGCCCAGTTTCCCTAGGGATTTCCAAATGCTTTCCTGTGGGAGGAGAGCGTAGCAGCTTATCTCCCTATTCCCACTGGCACTGCGTGTTCACACCTGTGCCTTCCTGGCTCCGCCATGCAGTTCTCTCTCTGCCTACTCACCCCTGCATGTACGTAGAGCCTTTCCTAGTGGGTGTCCCACACATTGCCGACACCCACGAGGCCAAGAACTGGGTATCCGGAGGCAAGGCACGGGGGAACGGTCTGGGGAAGTAGGGCAGAGTTGGCGAGGTCCCCCTCTTTTCTTCTCAAGAATGCCTTGAGATCATGAGGGTTGGTACCCACAAAACAGTTCCCGGATGAGTGCTGGGAGGTGGCAGGCAAGGGAAACAGCAGCTGTGCTCTTTATCCCCAGCACTATGGCCCTTCCGTCATCACCTCGCTAGATGAACAGGACACCCTCGGCCACTTCTTCCAGTACCGGGGAACCCCTTCCCACTTCCTGGGCCCACTGGCCCCCACACTGGGGAGCTCTCACCGCAGCACCACTCCAGCGCCCCCTCCTGGCCGTGTCAGCAGCATTGTGGCTCCCGGGAGTTCCTTGAGGGAAGGGCACGGTGGACCCTTGCCTTCAGGTCCCTCTTTGACTGGCTGTCGGTCAGATGTCATTTCCTTGGATTGAGTTACTTGGATTACGAAACCTTCTCTGCCCCCCAGCACTGAGCAGGTGTGCTGTGGGTTCCCAACCCCTGGCTACCCTGATCCCTCAGGGGTCTTTGGCCAGAGGCCAGACCAGGCCTTCAAGGATACCTACTTTTGGTCTTATCTCTGCTTAATAAGGCCGGTACTCAAAGGGTTAACATTTAACCTGTTTTAAAGGGTGTTGGGGTCTGTTTTTGGAAGTATTTTGATGGTTGCACATTCCTTTGGGTGTGGTGACCTAGGCAGTGGGAGGCAGATGGAGAGAGAGGAGCTGAAGGAAGAGGGGGATCCTCAGCCTTTACCAGGTCTACGGCCTCTTGGGGAAAAGGCACTTTGCTGGCCCGCAGGACGCCTTCCCTTCCCAAACTTGTCTGTCTGTCCTTTTCATGTCCGTTCTGTTCTCTTTGGTCACACCGGTGACAGGCAGATCTGAGACATGAGGCTTCAGAGAAGGACAGAGAACTCTATTTGGGGTTGCAGATTTCTTTTTTGTACATAAATAAGAAAACCCAAAATTATCCAAAGATGACACTCCTGCCTTCTACTTCCCAGTCTGACTTGAGGAGGAAACAAGGCCTTAGTTGCGATGCCCAGGGCCTCGGACCTGCCTACTACCTGGGTCTCTCTATTTATATATTTAAGTTCACAGTGTTTCTTATGCTAAACAACCAAGGGCCTACACTTCTAGTGACCTGTGGTCAGGCCTAGATCATTCTGCACCTTTTGTGGGACGTGGGGGCTCTGTGTTCTCCTTCCCAGTACTCAGGCCCTTGTAGGGTCAAGGCCCTATGTTGTGATTTTACTTTCTGTTCCCAGAGGTGTAGCAGGGTTCTTGCCTACAATAAAGGTTGTGAATGTTCTGTGATTTCGTATCTCAATTTCCAGGCCCCTGGTTTGTGGGGAAGAGGGTCCATGCTCCGTCTTTTCACTTTTAGAAGACGTTTAAAAATTTTTATTACTGCGTATTTGGGCATATGTGCCTTTGCTTGGCATGTGGACAGTAGGGGACAGCTTTTTGGAGTAGGAGCCCTCCTGCCACCAGAAGGAGATTCTAGGCACTGAACTCGGGTCTCAGGTTTTTACAGCGGAAGCGTGTAGATCCAGCATCTCACAGACCCCCAATCCTTCCTCTGCTGGTCCGGCTCCATGTAAACACTTTTACCTGCAGGGAGCAGAGGCGTTCACAGCAAGCGCTCGGGGTCAGTAAGCACTAGACCACCCCAGGCCAGTGCTGTGGGGCCCTCAAGTCATTCCTTACCTTCAGCTGCCCAGATGTTGCAGCCAGAGCCTGAGAGCAAACTTGGTTCCAGCGCTGACCCGCTCTTTGTCCTCCACTGAGGTCGGGGTTGTCCGCAGGAGTGTGGACATGGGCAGGACCAGAGGCTGGGTTCCTCCATCGTCCTTCAGTTCGGTTGCACTGGAGAATGACAGTTCTGTCTAGGTTGTGCCTTGTAACTAGCTTACAATGAACTTTGGTATGTTGGGCCATTTAATCCTCCCAGCTGTTACATAAGGCAAACGAGTGTTAGCCTCATGTAGCAGAAGTTAAGTGACTCTCCTATAGGAGAGTAGGGGCTCAGACCAAGGGCTTCAGCGCTAGTCAGCTGAACCCTTAACATTTGGTGGACCCTTAACATTTGGAGTCTTTGATCTCAGGTGGTCTTTTAATTTTCAGTAGACCAACTCGCTTCCTAAATCTCTTCCACATGCTACATGCAACTCCAAACTGCAATCTCCCCCATGTATGCATATGCATGTATGTTGTATGCCAATAGCTAAAGTAAAATTCTTACCAGAGAGAGGATGGTAGGGTCTGGAGAAGTCTGGGGGTCTCAGTGCCATCTTCTGTGGCGGCCACAGCTGTCGCTACATCTGGCCCCAGCCACATGAAGGCACCTCCTTTGGATTTATTTGGATCCGGGCCTGGGGTTAGACTATTGATCCATCACTTAGGAGAAGGCAGAAGACAAACCAGGGGCAAGGGCAGCCTGTAGCTTGTTATCTCCCCGTGTCTGGAGTCCCAGTCAGAAGCAGCCTACCTGGAGCAGCTGCTGTGACTCCCGGGAGATCACGAGAACATAGAGAATGAGGTGATGGTATTTGGGGAAACCCCAGCTCAGCCTAGGAGGGTAGGCAGACTAAAACAAAACAAAGCAACACCAAGGTAGCATGTGGAAAGAATTCCTATTTTTGAAACTTTGTAAGTAGAGCTTTAGGAAGACAAAATGCTGGCCCTGCGCCCATGGAGTGGGTGATAGGTAACAGGTAAGAGGGACGCAGGTGAGAGCTCTGGTTTGGGTAACCCACACTATCCACGTTTCTTTTCCCCAGTGGCCAAGGCAGATAAGGGTTGTTCTGTGGGCTTTAGGGGTCGTTGAAAGTCTGTCTCACCTCCCACAACCCCAGGAGGACACAAGAGACCTGGGCCAGGGGCAGCTGAAGCCCACACTCTTCCTGCAGCTCTCGAAGGCCACACTCCAGGACCTGGGAGTCAAAGGGAGCAGGTCAGGATGTCCAGAGTGTAACCCCCTTTGTCCCTCAGCCCACACCCAAGGTGACCCCATTCTTAGGTCTCTTGGTTGGGTCGGCAGACTGGTACCTCCTCCTCAAGTTCCATGTGGCCACCTGCAAGAAGAACGGACCCAATAGTGAACGGTGGTTGTCTCCACCAGGGAGCCCATCCTCCAGAGGGCAGAGGAAGTTTGTGGCTGTGGACACAGACCTTGGGCAACCACTGTACAGGACTGACTACCCAGTAGCAATGTGGAGGGAAAGGACACCATCTTCCATGGCATCTGTTCCTAGGTGCTCACCTGGAGGGACCCAGACGTTGGGGAAAATGCGGAGAGTGCATGTCCTTCGGGTCAACAAGACAGTCTGGTCACTGGACTGAAGAATAACGGCCACACCCACATCCACACCTCTATCTGTGGGCAGCTCGGTCCTGGAGCCCCCAGGCTTCTGGTCCAGAGCCACAAAAGGGCAGAAAGGGGGTCTCTGACAAGAGGGGGTTGATCGGGCTAAGGCTTTGAAGCGGGGTGGGACTTTCGGAAATTGGAGGTGCCCGCGGTGAGAGCTGGCCCGTCGCCCCCAGACCGCTCCTCAATCCACTCTCACTTTCCCTGCCGACTCCCGACTCCCTGACCAGACCTGGATTGGAAGTCTCTCCGAGGCGCCGGGGAATGAATGGCTGGAAAGGACAAGCTGTCCTCGCTCCAAGCTGCAGAGCGTGCGCCACGGCCCGGGGCCCTGTCCGGCGCCCAGGAGGCCACACACACTCTGCGTGAAGTTCACTGACTCTAGGCGTCCGGCCAGGCGCAGCAGTAACCGTGCCGCAGCCATCGCGCTGCTCTGGTCGCCGCTTGCCTGGCGCCCCCTGGTGGCCCAGCGCCGTGAGTCGTGCAGCTTCCGGTGTGCCTGCCCTGCAAACCAGATTTTCCAGACCAGCTGGGAAATTTAGGCACAATTTTTGGGGGCAATCCCTGTGTGTGATGCTCATATTCTCATTTCCTCTTGAGTTCCCTCTGACTTCTCTGTTTGGTACAATAATCCCCAGGTTGAATGATTTCTGGACAGGTGTGTTATTCCCCTCCAGTCCTAGGCTGAACTTAACCCCCACACACATCAGCAAGTAAGTGGTTTAAATTAGTCACTCTCCACATGAGACGCCTAACAATTTCTTAAAAATGTAAAGCAGGGTCTCATGATACCCAAGCTAGCCTCAATCTTGTGTAGCTAAAACAGATGTTGGCCTTCTGACTAGCTGTTTGTGCAGTTCCGAGGATCAAACCCAGGGCTTCCGGCATTACTATGCTTAATAAGTGATGGTGACTAGCTTGAAGGCAGAGACAATCTTTTATCATATATATATGTATATATATATATACACACACACATATATATATAGTCACTTTTATTTTTGTCAATATGGGGTAGGGTGGGCATGTACTTGTGGAGGTCAGAGAAGCTGGTTCTCTCCTTCATGAGAGTCCATGAAAACCTCAGGTTGTGACTGTCTGGTTGGAATCAAGCCTACTCCATGAGATGGAACCCATGCCTGACACTTCCTGGGATAGCCAAAAACCTGAGACTAGATAGGCCATGGACCTAGGGGAAACCCAAACACTACTGTCTGCTAAAGGAAGGTGGCAATGAAATGACTCCTAATGACATAGTGCCATACGCTTGGGCTCGTGCCTCGCTCAGCCGTCATCACAGAAGCTTCCTCCTGCAGGAGACGGGAACAGACAGAGACCCACAAATGGGCAATGTGCAGAGAGTGACGGGTCTTAGAGCATCTGGTCCTACGTGGGATGTCTTCATCAAACCCTGTCCTCATGGCTCAGAGAACTCTGTGGAAGACAAGGTGGAAAGATCACAAGAGCCAGGGTGGGTGAGGACACCAAGGAAACAAGGCCTTCTAGGCACAACAGGAATGGTTTCATGTGTGTTCATAAAACAGAGATCATGTTTCATGAGTGTGAATGGTCCAAGTCTAACCCAGATGGGGTCCCAGCACTGAGAGGGGAAGTAGACACATACTGTACCCCTAACCCAGAAGCTATTACAATGGATAACTTCTTGTAAAGGAAAACAGCTTTCTCCATCAGACTCTCACTGGGTAGACAAACCACACTTAAGGGCAGGCCCAGTATATGGTCAACACAAATCAAACTCAATGGTATTTTTGGAGGTTTTTTCTATTTCTTTTCTTTTTCATAATGCTTTTTCCCTTACAGATTTCTTGTTTATATATTATGATTTCTGTTTTGTTTTTATGGGTTTTCTATGTGCGTCTTAACACCTGTGCTTCTTTTGTTCTTTGACTTTTGTTGTTGTCTTGTCCTATTCTGGTTTGTTTTTATTTAATCTTATTTTTATTATTTTTAGATGCCTGTTTTCTAATAAGAGTGTGGATTTGGGTTGGTAGGGAAGTGGGGACGATCTGGGAGGAGTTGGCTCATCTTTATCTATCTATCTATCTATCTATCTATCTATCATCTATCTATCTATCTATCTATCTATCTATCTATCTATCTATCATCTATCTATCTATCTATCTATCTATCTATCTATCTATCATCTAT